TCTTTTGGAATACTAAGATTTGTTGTCTCAATTTAAACGTCAGAGTTTATTATCTCTTTTAAAACTGCATTTTATTATCTCTTTTGGGTACGCTCAGTTTATTGTCTCATATGGGGGTGAGCCGTTCACACTCTTTGCTTAATTTGATCCTTTATGCGCATTTGGGAACGTCTTAAAAACGAAGAGTAGTTAATACGCACCTTTGTTTAGTAGGGGAAAATCTATACGTCTAAATGCACTTTTCGAGATAAAAAACCGCATTTAGACATGTTCAAAGGATCGATTCGAAAAACGCACTCAGCTACTGTTTTTTTTTTCCAAAAAAATGCAAGAAAGATGCATGCGAACATTCGTCTCTATAGCAAAATTTTCCAGTGCGCTGAATTTATAACAAAAAGCTATAACAGATGAACAAAATCGATCATTTCGTAATTCTCTGATATCTTTGTCATAGTTTATCTCTAATACTTTCTTTTTTTACTAAAAGAATAACTATACAGATATCGCTAAAACAATGACTTAAGTATATTTTATTACAGAATGGGAAAATTCAAAGTTTTCTAAAGCACTTCTCTTCAATAATTTTATGATACATAGAGCAATGTACAAAAAAATCCACTGAAAAAGTCTAAACTTTCAATATGCTAAGTGAAAAGATTGTTGTTATTTTTTTTTCAGAAGACTTCAACATAACATTGCACTTTATGTGATAAATTAAAGAAGAGAGGAGCTTTCCAAAATATTTTTCGTTTCATGTTTCAATTTCATATTTTGTAATCAAATACACTTACTATGTTTTCTCTAGATAGCTGTAGAGTTATTCTTTTAGTAAAAAAAGAAAGTGTTAAGGATAAACTGTAACAGAGATATAAAAAGATTACGAAGTAACCGATTCTTAATGACCTTGCCATTAGAATACAAAGAATTTATCTCCGTCAAGTGTTTTTTTGTGAACGTATTTATCGCAATGTGTTGACTTATTGTGCACTATAATATTTTGCGTTATGATAAAGCTCATTCATAATAATATGATCATTGCGTTATTTTAATAATCTTGAACCAATGAATAGAACCCTTAGATGTGCAATTTTATTTATTATATAATATTTATATATAATTTATTTAAATCAACACAATGGGTCCTTCTTCACAGTCTCTGCTCAATATGGTGCAACATTGAACACAGCATTTATTTATTTGATGTCATTCGCATTATTGAAGGTCAAGTTTGCGTTTTATTTAAAATTTTTTAGGTTAATTATTATGTGTATTGTATGATATGGTCACACTTGAAAAAATTAAAAATAAATGGACTGCTTTATAAAATATACATAAAACACATAAAAACGGTTTTAAGCACTAATAAGAAATTATATAGAATAGAATGACGATGATTTATTCACGCAGAAGTAAAAAATAGAGATATAAACACACACTTAGCAAAGAATAAGTGATGCTGATATTTATGATAAAATACAATTTAAAGTATAAATGTTTAAAAAAAAAAAACGTTTTTGATGTATAATTTGTGTGTGTGCATATAAATAGTGAAAAAAATTCATCTAAAATGACTTTATCTATGAGGATCTATGTGAAACTATTTTAGTGAGAACAAAGATGAGACTGTTTCCAATATTTCCTCAAAAAGATTGAAAAAACAACATAATACGATCAAATGAAATGATCCTTGTATTAAATTGTATAGCTTAACTTTTTGTCTCAAAAAAGAATACGATACAGAAAAAAACCAATCAAGTGTCATTTATTGAATAAAATAAATTTACTTTCTATTAACTTGAAATGAATACGTCTATTTTATTATTATAAAAGGTAATCTATTTTATCATTGAATATAAATCCATTGCTCATGACTGGCATTAGGTAGATGATTAATACTCACAAGTAGTCTTTTTGTACATATTTAGGCTACTTCTTAACTGAGACTACCATTTTTTTAAACTTCGTCTCATTTTACTTTCAGCCTTCTGATGTCAATTAAGACTTGTGCAAAAATTATTTAATAATTGACTAATTTTAAACTTTTATAATTATTTCGATTAATAAACGAATCAACAGTATCCTTTAACTGAATTGATGATCGTTTGAAGACTAGTTTCGCTTAAAACTTCTCAATTATACGTTGTAAAACAAAAGTTCAAGTGATAACTTTATTCATTCTATCTAATCAATCGTGATCTCAATCTCAGCTCATGTAACAAATATGTCTTTAAGCTGAAATAATTATGTTATGATTATCAATAATACACACACACACACACACACCATTAAATGAGATAAAGAACAGACTTAGTTTCGTCACGACCAATTAATTATGAAGATACATATAGTGTCAATCAAAACTATTTCCATGTTTGTGTAAACGGTTATTTTTGACAAATATCAGACACATTTTACACAGACAGACAACTGTCCTTTAAGAAAAATAAGTCATTTTGAACAGTTTATAGTCTATACACCTATTGACTTTTGTGAAAGAATATAGTTAAGTTATTCATCAAAAAATATACGTAATATAAGCTGATTGTTTTGTCGAAAAATATTTTAGTGTCAGCATAATCAGAATTAAAATTTATTGACTGAGTTAATTATGGACCAGTGTTTTCAACTAGTTATGTAGGATACGCCCTTTGAACACTATTAATTGTTTCTTCTCTCTCTCTCTGTCTGAAAGTATATACATTCTGCTGTTACGTCACTTTTCCTCTCTCTCTCCCTCTTTCTATTCGATTATCGTATGCATTTTTAAATAACTGTATATGTTCATTATGCTTTTTTTCTTTATTATGGTTGAACGAGTTTGTTAAATGGAATCGACTGATTTATGATGAATACCTCAAAAAGTTAAGTAGAAAATAAATGACTAAGATTATATACACGCGATAAAAAAAAAAAGAAGAAAGGCACTTAACAAACTAATCGTAATAAGAACTAGTTTTAGAATGTTGTGTATAAATACTATACAAGAAAACTTAGTAACTCAAAGGATACATATCGAGATCTTACAAAAATGGTACATACAAATAAGAAAGCAAAAAAAGCAAAATATCATATTACAATAGAATAGATACATAGAATTCATAAACGAGATGTGAAATTTCTTCCAAATCTAATAAAGAAATCTTATTGAATAGTTTATTCTAGTTAGGTACCATCTAAACAACTTTTTTCTGTATATCAGAGAGATAAATTATCTCAACGTTTTTATATAATAAAAAAATGATACAACTTTAATTATAGAGATCAACTTGTGACACGGGGTGGATACGAGTACTTGTGAGTACTTGATATTGTGAAGTAGTAGCGTTCTAAATTTGTTGAACAAAATATGCATTCATAGGCCTCATTCGACACAGATTTTGATTCTCTATAAAATGATGTACGAATAGTTCTAATACAATCTTATAATTCTCAAAAACACTTCAAAATATCTTGAAAAGTATTTGCCAAGTACAAGTACTTTTGTAACTATTTTGACTTTTTATGGATATTAAAGGTTTAAGCAAAAACTACTTATGAATCATTTTATAGAGAAGCAAAACGTGCATGCATCGAATGAGGCCTTTGAATGCATATTTTGTTCAACGAATTAGAACGCTGCTACTTTCACAACATTAAGTACTCGTATCCACCCTGTTGTGGCAATGATTTTGCTCGATTTGCTCTCAATTAAAAAGGCTTTTTTTTCTCCGATTTTTTGAGAATATAGTGTGTTAAGAAGAAAATTATAGAAGTAGATAGCAAAAAGAATACAATTTTTTTCAAAAAATTTCTTATTGTACTCTTAAAAAATTTGCACTACACCTATTTTATTTCTACGCATCAAAACAGATTAACTACTAAAAAGTTCAATCTCTAGTGCGAAAAAAAGTATCTGTACGGAGGAACAGCTTTCTGTTTATACGGTAAATAACATTATCTTTGGTCAGTTTTTTTTTTTTTTTCGATACATATTCTCTCTACATACGAGTCATCGTCGTCTTTTCATCTAAACTTTAACAATCTGATAATTTCACTCTTATGAATACTCTTTGTACTATACCGATATATATATATATATATATTACACCGACAATTTGAAACGTATATCTCATTTGACATTACAATGAGCAATATTCATTTGAAGGTAAATTTCAAATGAGATATGAGATTATTACTAATGACATAGATGTAAAAGATATCAAATATATTTTTAACTTACTTATTTTTGATGCAATTGCTCGAATTGTATTTCCATTTCGAAATAAATAATTTTTTGTTGATGATGAATAATAATTTGTTTGATCATAAATTGATTTCATATAATCAACAAGTGATGTTATATCTAATTTTGAAAATTGTTTTTGATAATTAATTGTTTGACGATATTGTTGATGATTATTTGATGATTTTAAAATTGAAAATGGTAATTTAATATTCGATATTGATTCATACGGATACAATTGATTAGTAGAATCGGTATCATTGATTATAATAAATGAATGAATTTTAGTTGTAATAAATAGAAAAAGACTAATATATAAATTCGAATAGAATATTAATAACATAATTCGGATTAATTAAACAATTTAATAATACTAAGATTCATGCCATTATTTATCAAATTAAATGAGAAAATAAAAATATATATCGTGTTATGTCTAGAATAGAAAATAATGTATAGGAAGACTTTTTAGTCATACATACGGGAATATTAAATTGATAAAATAATAGCTAATATTTTTATTTGAGAAGTTTAATAATTTTAAAAGCTGAGGAGAAGTAAACGCATCGAATGTTATTGTATGACAGTTAAATGCGGGATAAATTTTATAGAATTTTTTTATTTCAAATTAAATTCTTTAGACAACAAAATTCTAATGTATGCGATACGATTGAGTTTTAAAATATCTTTTTTTTTGCTTCTATTTATAGTATTTTATGGTATTCGAGGGTAAACATCTGGTGCCTGTCTTTTCATCATCTATAAACTAAAAGCACAAACAAAAAAAAAGACTCTTTTTCTAACGACAAGTATTTGTATAGTTAGCTATTTTAGAAGGATAATAAACAGGTCTTTGTAGAAACAAGTCTGACTTTGTAGTCAAATGTAAAGTTTGATTAATAAGTTCATTTTTTTTTCCTCCGATGAATGTTAATATGATTCTTATCGTCAAATAAACTGACGAGGGAATCAAAGCGAGGTGTTAATCATTTCTTTTTCTCGGAATACACCTGAATATAGATAATTTTTGATATCAACTACGAGTCTGATATTCGTTTGTCTTTTTATAGATCCTTCAAGAATGATATGATAGAAATCGGATAGTTGAAGGATCATCATAAGCTTTTAGTCAAATACTGAAGAAAAAAAGACGAGTGATCACTTGGTGAGAGTCTACAAAAATAGGCGGTGTGTGTGAGTAACTGCTTTTTTCTCATCGTTATTTGTTGAAATACGTCCTAATATCGGCTATGGTCTAAACATTAGTTAGACGTTTATAGACATAAAAAAAAAAAAAATTAATATGAAGTGTTTCTTTTCTTGCAATCACCTTGAAATCAAGGTCGAATGATAGTGTAGTCAAACCTGTGGGATCGTCCCATTTTATTGAAAATTTTGTCAATTGTCCAACTTTGATGTCAAATGAGAGTGATACCCATTCACACATTACAATAGATAAATAATGGTTCGATATAGTTTTATTTGTTCCGTTGTTGTTGCTGTTGTTATCACCATATATCAAACCTCTACCAACATAACTTAACTATGTACTTCAATTTTACCATAAAAAAATAATAAAAAATATCTTACCTTGTTTAAATGTAAGTATTTTATCATATTAAAAAGAAAATTGTCTTGTCTACAAACATCTATGTATAAATGTTCATGAAAATGAAAAATCGAACAGTTTCTTTTCTTCAAGACTACACCTACTCTCCTACCTCCACTTCCTTGATAATTATCATCGTTCCTTTTTCCTTGCTTCATTATTACATCGGATCGAGAAATTAAATGAGCACTGTACTTGCTTAATGGAGAGAAAAAGAGAAAGAGATAGAGAGACAGAGAGAGAGAGAGAGAGAGAGAGAGAGAGAGAGAGAGAGAGAGAGAGAAAAGAATGATTTTTTTTTCTTTCTCATCCTTTTACTATTTGGAAAGACGTGCATTACATTGCACACTTGGCTTTTTTTCTCTTTGAATAGGATGAACACACAACACATCGATGCATACTCAGTTCATTGCACCATATTGATCATTTACCTTTTCAAAATAGGCGTACATAACCTCTGAGATATAACTGTATTGAAACGAAAACGAGGTTTTTTTTATGCTCAAACATATTTAATAACATAATTAGAGGTAAACAGAATAATAAAATAGAGATATCCAAAGGTATGCCATTTTGTATCGAACTTTCGGATTCGCATACAATTTAGTTTCCACTTTTTCTATACGCATTCAAATTTCATGCTTCACACTCTCTATTGGTATAAACAATTGAGATATGTGATAAATATTCGAAACTTTTAATGAGAATTCAACTAAACAACACGGTCCTAGCTAGAATATCATCATTTTTCGATTGATTTTTGTAAGTATCTCAAAATCAAATTTTTTTTTCCCCCATTAATCACTGTTTGAAACACAAGAATTAGAACAACACATCCATATTAAAGACATGAATCATCACATATTTTGCTATCGAAAACTATGTCTATGATATTATTTGTTAGTTTTTTAGGCATGTTAAACGATATTCAGAAAAAACTACAAGATATTAGCTTAAATAAATATTTAAAAAGAAGCATGCTATAAGAGGATTTTGAACATTACATAGAAAAAAAGCAGATATTTTTAAGGATCTCCTCAAACTTGAAAATTTTTTTGATCATGTCTCTTTAGAGAATCAAAGAATGTCTTTTAAATAGAATTTATTCCGACTTTTAGAAATGTTTCTATTGCGAGTTACAATTCTTTTAATTTTTTTAACATCCTGGCAAGTTTTTTTAATTTCTAATGTTTGTTAGTAAATAGATAAAAGTTTTTAAACAGCAAAATTCAACGTTATTACCCATAAGTAGTATAGACATAAAGCGAGATCTATCTCTATTGGTTTTCAAAATATCGTTTCGTACTCATTAGACAGAGATTTCAGAAAATCTTGATTTAAAAATATGCGGATTATATCCAAAGAAGAAAATATTTTTGATAATCAAAAACAGTAAATCTCGTATTTTATCTGTTCTACTAATGGTAGAGGTCTACTCTCTAAAAAAAAATTCGTAGCTTACAAAACGAATAGTGATTTTGGCATTTTCTCCTAATAGAAACCGATTTCCGTATCATACAGTCCTGCTTAACCGTTTCGCAGAATACACCTGAACGTTTTCTCTCTGATACAAAATCTAAATCCGTTCCTTCACAAGGCAAAAAAACGTTCAAGTGTATTCTGCGAAACGGTTAAACAGGACTGTACAATACGAAAATCCGTTTCTATTAGGAGTAAATGTTAGAATCGATATTCGTTTTGTAATTTACAGATTTTTCTTAGAGAGTAGTCGAAACGTTGTCCTCGTTTTTCAGCTTGACAGCATCTAGAAAACTATAGTTGTAGAAAATGTGAGACTAAATCAAGCAAACACTTTTCATAAATTATTGAGATCTATTTGTACTAAGAAACGTACGGCACTAGGATAAACCGTTCTCTAGATATCTGAGAAAGGAGAGAGGGAGAGAGGTGTCTTTAACGAAAGATTGCATAAAATTCTAATGTAAATAGATTATAAGTTGTCTTAGTTTTGTCACAAGGTTTTCTATGTTTAAAAACGAGTGAATAAAAATGTGCAATTGCTTATACTTTTTCTTGACTTACATATATTAAGCGTTTGTTCTGTTCTCTATTCTTTACTCTCTAAACTACTCATAACTTCATTAATAATTATTATTAATAGCAAAATCAAGTGATGATTAGATATTTTTTAATACATTAAACACATCATTTTTTATGCAAGCTTATTATACACTTTTTTTATATTTTTGTCAAGGTCTGAGAATTGAAACATAAGCTCATGACTCGTCACAGGGTCACACTTCAAAACCATAGTCGCTTGTTTGCTTTTTCAAATAAGATATTTATCAAATGACACAAAATCAATCAAGAATAACAGAGACCAGTCGTTTTAACGAAAAGAAGTCACACTTTTATAATAAATTAAGAACAAAAAATTGAGAACGTGTCATATTTTATCAATGATAGCGATAAATAAAAACTATAGAGCGTTCGAGCAATGCATATTTCAAACAACTGCCAACTATCAGTTTTGTTATATGCATAAAGTCCACAATAACTTCAATAGATTATATTCATTCATTTTTCTATATGCGATTTCAAACATAGAAACTTAACATGACATATGGTGCAATTATTAGACATGTTAATAAAAATTTCTATAATTTATTTCCTCTATCTCCTGATTCTCTTACACTGTTCTGGAAAACTCTAAAAAAAAAGCTGATTTCGTATAATAAAAATGATGTTACTACTAAATTTATAAGAAGCATTTGTGATCTAAAAGAAGTATGTTTAATTTAGTAGTTATATTTAAGAAAATCATTCGTTTTACTATATACTCTTTTTTATCAAAGATTTTCCAGACATTTGTCTCAATGTTACTGTCAAATGGAAACTTAGCTGAATTAGAGCACTATGATATATATACTTTCTCATTCTATTGTCCATTTAAAATGTTTGATTCAAATGATGTGTAAAAAATTGTTTTCTAGAGAAAATGGGATATTTGCGGTTTTTGTTACACTTTTTAGAGAAAATTTTGAATAGTGGACTCAATCTTGCGTAGCATTCGAAATAACCGTTCAGTGAGACAAAAAAAAAGAAGAAAAGAAGAATGATCTCATTTTGTAGACAACAAATGTTTCTTAATGATCTGATGTTTAAATACTGAATATTGTTTGAATAACTAGCGAAAATTGAAAAAGATTTACCTCCACAATTTTCTACTCCTCTTATCTATTAAAAAAAAAAAAAAAAAATTTCTTGTAACAACGTGTATTTTTTGCATTTTACTCTCAAATCGTACTAACCGGTCGTGAATACATTTTCTACAGTAAACATCATCATACCGTCCTCAATACCGTACAGAATATAGTATATATTCTTAATTATTGAAAAACTAAAAAAAAAATTTAAACATTTCTCTTATGAAAAAATAAGTTCGACGTTCTAGTCGATTATTGCATAAAAAAAAGATTGTTTTCTTACGTCTCTCTCAACACAGTAACAAATTTGAATATGTTGTACGTTCACACAATCATCATGTATTTTTGACAATAAGACTATATATCATTGATTATGATTAGTATTTCTAGACAAGTTTAATAACAGATATACATAATCTTATCTTATTAATTTTGTTTTTTTTGATTCTACTCTAACGTTTCGACAAAAAATATTAAAGATAATAATTCTTTTTTGAGTTGTTATCCCCAATGGCGATGACATCAATATACTAACAAAAACAATGCAACACAAAAAAAAAAAAAAAA